GGAGAGGGGGGAGAGAGAGAGAGAGAGAGAGAGAGAGAGAGAGAGAGAGAGAGAGAGGGAGGGAGGGAGAGAGAGGGAGAGGGAGGGAGGGAGAGAGGAAGGTAGAGCGACTAATATTCTATACATGTAGTACTCCATACTCTCATACTCTACACTGTGTCTGTCTACTATTGGATGGATGGTAGCTTACAGTCAGCTAGTCTGAGGAGCTTCTCTGTTCTTTATTAAACTAACTGTGACCGTGTGTCCATACTTCTTGGGATAGTTTATTTATTCATATTGTTAATGTAACGGGATTTACTCTCTCCTTACTTACCCTTTGATCTACTTACCCTCCAACGAATCATAATAATGACTCACCATTGAATCATTAAGAAAATATGAACAAAATGTTTTCTTATGATACATACATGTACCTTTTAATAGCTTTTATGTGTACTAGTTTATTTATACTTATATGGTATGATCACTTATATATTTACATGTATATGATCATTTGACGTATTGTAATATCATGAAGTGTTTGTTTGTTATTTTACTGATTACGTTACAGACTTTGATATTGTTTACATTATAATGTTTCATTATTTTCTGTTCCAATACCAGTTATGAGTCATGCTCTCCCTCTCTCTCTCCCTCCCTCTCTCTCTCCCCACTCTCTCTCTCCCTCCAGTTCCTCCCCCACAGGTACCAACTGTCACCATATCCTCTCCAACTTCCCCCACATATTCCGGTGGTATGGTAAACCTAACTTGTCGCGTGACGCTACAAACCTCTTCACATTTCACTGATCCACTCTCTGCTAACATAAATTGGAGCATAGGAAACATCCCAATCATAATAGAACCTCTTGAACTTACTCGATTTGAACTTCCTCGAATCTCAATTAAGAACTATAAAATAAGTACTACTCGATATACTAGTGTGTTGTCAATACGGGCTGCCAGTGTATCAGATAGTGGACTGTACAAGTGTGGGGTGATATCACTATCTGGTATATATTCCTCTGTACTAGTTAACTCCACTGGCACTGCATTGAACATTGAAGGTAAATTTATGCATATACATGTACATGTATAAATTAAATATTCTATAACTTATTCATTATATTGTTGTATGTGTGTGTACTACTGCTACTATTGTATGTTACTATTATGTTTAAAGCCAGCAGTTTCAGTCTCTTACTATTGTAGTATGCAACCTAATATAAAGTTTACTACTTTTAGCAATAATAATAATAATAATAATAATAATAATAATAATAAACGTACAATGTTATGATAATACTATTCCTTAGGCTGTTGTTTTTTTGCATGTAAGTCAAGTCTTTATTTACACTTATTTAATACTGTATAGGGGTTCTATTTCATTGGAAATAAACGATGCTAGTTTCACGTTTTCGTTAAATTCACGAAACTCAATTCCACAAAAAAGGCGTGGCACAATAGGAAAAACGGCTGCAGCAGGTGCAAGATTCGCGAAAATTTATTCAACAAATGACAAATTTGAAGGAATTTGCGACATTTTATACCAACAAAATAAACCTTTATATGGTAATAATTATTAATTATTATGTTTTTTCCTCTTTCTCTCTCTCCACACACACACAGTTCCTCCTATTCCAGTCAACCTCTCCCCCACTAGTATAGAAGTCCCTAACTTCCAACCTTATAACTTAATCCGCTTCAACTGCTCCATATCCATACCGACCGGTCACTTTATCACGTCCCATTTCAACTGGTTCATGGACAACGATACCTCTAGCCGGCCGTTGCTCCACGGTCAAGGTGGAGTCAGTATAGTGGTCAACGGTCACACCAGTTCGCTGTCGTTTGAAGCAGCCAACCCTGGAGAGGCTAAGTATCGGTGCTCGGTTGTTTTAGGTTTTCCATCTACAGACCCTAACGTGACTTTATCGGCTAATTCAACTGTTAACATTATAGGTAAGGATCTTTAGTTTTTAATAACAGAATAATTATTAATAATATTAAAATAATAATTTTAAGGTAAGGACCTTTATTTATTTTCATATTGGAATATTTAATGGTACTTGATGGAATTACGTGTCCTGTTTTTAATGGAGGAATGTGTTTTGGTATTTCTTGTTTTTATAAATATTATCTTTTGTTGTTAGTAACAGACACACTCCTGTCTTTAACTTAGACACAATAATTAGCATGTGTATCTTTTAATGTCTCTCTTTGTCTGCTTTATATATACTAAAGATCAGCACACCCTCCTCTCTCTCTCTCTCTCTCTCTCTCTCTCTCTCTCTCCCTCCCTTTCTCTCTCTCTCTCTCCCTCTCTCTCCCTCTCCATTGGGCTTCATATGGCTCAGTGTTAGTTTTAATATTAGTCTCAAGCCAAATTTCACATTGGCTGGTGTATGTTGATTAGTTACTACTTGTGTATACAGCAGACTTTACTCATTCACTAGAAACTAAACCAGACAGTATATTAGACACTGTAATGAGTTTCAAGATACATTAGTATTTATACTGTATTAAGAATATGATCTAATGTAATACTAAGAGTCTATAGAGAGATCTGAGATGAGTCTTAAATCATATTTTAGCAGTTTTCTTTATTGTCTGGTTGTTACAGTGAACCAATGGAGGCTGGACTAGTGGTCTAATCTCAAACCATCTCATCCACACTCTCACTCACACCTGTTCATAGCGGCACCACTACACTATATACACTGTAATAATACTTGAAAGCTTCTATATGAAACAATACAACAGTATAATATTATTAGTATATATACATGTAGGTATAGATTTAACTTAACAATATAATAACAGTAGGTACATATACATGTACTCTAAGTCTTCTATATGAAAGTACAGTATTGTACATATATATGATTTAATTTGCTCATTTGTACAAGTGTGGACAGTGTGGCCTTTTATAGTGATCCTGAGGTCTTTTTGTAGCACCTTTAGTATTCCTTTAACAGTTATATCATTTTTTCTTCTTCATTTTTAATTAATATTTTTATTTTTTTAGTAATATATTATAAGTTAGGACAGGTTAGAATAGATTAGGTCAGGTTAGAGCAGGAGAAATTAGCAATAAGTATTATTATTATTATTATTATTGTTATAAATTATTTTCCTTTTTTCCTTTCTCTTCTACTAGGTCCCAGTAAGCCCTTCCTCCCCATTAGGATCATAGCTGGTGATTTCGGCCACAGCACAGCCCTCATCCAATGGACAGTACCATCCATAGCCTATTCACCCGAGTCTTACTTTATCCGTTACGGAACCAGCCGAAATAACTTGAACTTTAAAAGCTCTACGCTGATAGGTACCCAAGACCTTGACGCTAAGGATCAGACCTTGAGTATCACACTGCGGTACCTAACTCATGACACTCTCTATTATTATCAGGTGGTGTCTACTAATACTTTTGGGGAGACTAATTCTGTCATATATAGCCTTAGGACCACTAGACTAGGTAAGGGCTATTAGTGTCTTGAATGTAATGTGTACTTGTATATTTTTGTATTGTTTGTTGCTGGTCATTGTAGAAGCTAGTGTTAATAAAGATCCCTGGTTTTTTTTTGGAAAAATGGCTCCAAAATTTTCCCCAAATTTTATGACATTTTCTGATACATATTAATGTAGTTATGCTGTGTAGAAAGTTTGAGCTGATTCCGACTTAAATTTTTTGAGTTACGGCCATTTTTTAAAATGGGGCAAAATCTGAAAAAATCCCTGTACTGTAGCCCATGGTTTTTTCCGAAAAATGGCCAAAAAATCACCCCCAATTTTTATCACATTTTTTGATACATATTGATGTCCTTATGCTGTGTAGAAAGTTTGAGCTAATTCCGACTTAAATTTTTAAAGTTATGACCATTTTTTTAAATCGGCTAAAATCTGAAAAAATCCCTGTACTATAGCCCATGGTTTTTTCCGAAAATTGGCCAAAAAATCATCCCCCATTTTTATTACACTTTCTGATACATATTGATAACATTAATTATATAACTATTTCTATAAATTCTCTTTGTAGCTCTTATTCAGTTTAAAGCAGGTCCTTTTCTTGGCTGCTCCAATGGAAGAGTAAGCTACATACACTTGTATCTACATACTCATGATTCATGTACATGTAAATAATAATAATAATCTACATGCATGTGTACAAAGAAAATAGCAATCACATATTATTTATTTTACATGTATTTATTTATTTATTCATTTATTTATTTCTTTATTTATTTATTAACAGGTTTCTGATTCAGATGCAGTTCAGGTATTCCTAAAGGACGAGATATCAAAAGCCGTCAGCTCCTCCTGCTCCTGTACTTTCCCCTCCTCCCAACTAATCAACGGGACCATACTCTGTCCGGCCACTGACTCTGAACAACTCATCCTCAGGGTATTTGTAGTAAGTACCGATACAGTGACATCGGCCGCTGTCGTCTCTCACATAAGAACCTGGATCAATGGGGACCCTGTTCTCACCTCGGGCGTCGCCAAGGTAACCTTCGACACCTCCTGTCCGGTAAACATCTCGAACAACCAAGTCCCGATTTGTATGGACACTATTATAACAACGACGGAGCCAACAACGGATGGTCTTAGCGATAGTTTTGGCTCTAACACTGATATACTGGTAGCTGTTGTAGCTGGAGCTGTCATTCTACTGGAGGCGGTTATTATTGTTATTCTGTTCTGTGCCCTGTGGCATCAGAACAGCAAGATAAGGTGTGTTTGTGATAGGAAGAAGAAGTGGTTTTGTAAAATAGTAACTGATTGTGATGATGGTAGTCATCCTGGTAAATGTGGAGAGCCAGAATTGAATTTATACACGACTGTTTAAGCTTCTATTGTATGTTGTACTGTATTGTCTGCATGTTTTGTAAAGCATGTTCTCTGCTTTTTATTTATTGTATTATTTTTTATTTCATTCTTTCTCTCCCTCCCCCTCTCTCTCTCTCTCCTCCACCTCTCTCTCTCTCTCTCCCTCCCTCCCTCTCTCTCCCCCTCTCTCCCTCCCTCTCCCCCTCTCTCTCTCCAATACAATATGTTCATGTACTGTATGTATAGTCTGTTATTATCACAATCATTTCACTGCTTGTGTATGTGTGGGTGTACATTTATATGTACACATATGTCACACTGCATGTATTATACTTATATTATGATAATACTACCTCATATAGTTTATATATTATTTACACTTATAGCTGATCAAAGTTGATAAAATGTTGATAAATCTAGTCACATGTGTTTTCACAAGAGAGAGAGAGAGAGTCAGCCTTTTTATAACCTTTATAGTACAGCCTACTACTCTACAGAGCTATGAATCTCATAGATATTAACTACTGTCACTCACACCTATTGCTGAGTTGACTTTATTCCTCTCTCTTTCTCTCTCTCTCCAGGGCACTCATTAGAAGAAGATCCAGTCCATATGCAGCTGTTAACAGACAGAATTCAAGTGTAGGAGCTACAGATCCACCCCCACCCTCCAATAAATGGTGAGTGACTTATGAATTATCAATTTTAAAATATGTTTTTGTAGCCTTAGTTTGTATGTAACTTGTTTGTTTATTTTATAATTTTTACTTTGATAAGAAGCAAGATTTTGTTATCATTTTAGATGCATTATCTACTAATAACAATTTGTAATAATAAATAAATTACACTCCATAGTTCAATCAGTGTTTATAGTACGAAGTCTATAGTTTTGGCCTTTTAGAGTGTGTTCTATGCCAATCGGTGCTGTGTGCACTTTAAACGATAAACAGCACCGTGTGCCTTAAACTGAAACTATAGCCCCGTGTGCAAGATAATATTTAATATTTGAATATAATATTTATTAATTAAAGTAATATAATATTAATAATAATGATAGTGTTGTCTAAACATTAAAAAGTGTTGCTAGTGTTACTCTATTTTTTCTTTTTTCAATAGGAAAGGAGACGCGTATGTGACTACCGAGTGTCCAGCTTACCTTTCTGCTTATACTCCTAAGGATGTAGAGGACATGGATATGGTACACATTGATGAAAATGGCCGCGAGCGCTCACCTCCAGCCATCTACGATTCCATTGATCTTGTAAACGGTCGGAGCGTCACTATGAGTGTGGCTCCGCCTCCTCCCCCGCCCTTGAACCATCATCCGTTGTCGCCCCAACGTAATAACGACGGTCGAGTGACGCAGAGTGTACTAATGAGCTCGGAAGCATCTGATACTGAGGATAATACAGGAAGCAGTATGATGTCATAGGAGGTGTTTCTAAATAATGCCCACCTCATCATCATCATCATCAAATATAAAATAAACTTTATTTTTTCATTTCTTCTTATTATTTTAACCCGCCAAAAGCTCAGTCTTGCTCTACGACTTTCTCTTTTACTTTTAAAGTCCCGCTCACTGTCTTTCTCCTTCTCTCTCAATCTCTTATATTTTCACAACTAGATCTTTCCTGTTCCATTCATTCTCTTCTCTCTCTCTCTCCTCTATGTACTTTTATTTCTGTACAAGTATCACATCTCCCTTCAACCTTCTTCTTCCTCCTCCTCCTCTTCTTGTTATGTTTCCAAACACATAACAAGTTTTTATCCCAACTGATACTCAACCAGTCACCTTTTCATTTCAATAACCTCCCCCCTCTCTCTCTCTCCAGCCTCTCAATATATTTATTTATTTTCTTCGTTTTATGGAGCATTGCAACTATACAATATATCAGATTATATTATAAATATTTTATTTTTGTTTGTTTTTATGTTTCAAACTACTATTCCTCAAAACTCAACATTCTTATTTTATCTCTTCACTATTATTATTATTATTATTATCATTACACAATGGTGTGTACAAGTATATTGATTATATGTACTTAAGACTGATGTCAAGTGCATGTATTTATATATGTGAATGATCAGTTGATATTGAGTTGTTATGTTAATGAATTAGTGAAGAGATTAACTCTCTCCCTTTCTCTCTTATTATTCTTTCGTTATTTTATTTATTTTTTTATTATTATTTAGTTGTACATATTATACTGATCACATTCAATCCATTATTCTTATTATTATTAGTAATGTGTTAATAATAGCATAATAATATCTAAATATTATTTTTCTTATTGTATTAACAAATAATGATAAATTATTAATGTTATTATTATTTATTTTTCCTCATATTTTTCTGTAACATAATCTTCATAAATTTAAACTTTGCATTTGATGGTCAATTGCAATTGCAAGCTACCGGCATATCATTGATATGCTTTTCAATTGTTTAAATTTATAAAAATAAAATGCAAATACACATCTAAAATATTCTCACTAAAGTACTCCGGTAAACATCAATTTCTCTTAGCAATGTTCCTGATAAATGCAAAACATGACCACCTAGCAGAAAAGCAGAATTTAGAACATCATGAGGTAATTTTGATGCATGAGCAGCTTTGGTGTCATTTAAGATGGTGATTGGTGTACCTTTAAATTCATACTGTATTTTTGGTAGCCTTGGATTAAATTTATCAAATTTTCCTTCATGAAATGCAAATAATATAAAAAATTTTGAATCTTTGTTCTCCATTATTCTAGCTGACATGTGCCATCCAAATGCACTTGTATAAAAGTGAGTTACTTTACCTCCTATTTCAATATATGTTGGTAGCAATGGATACGAATCATCAGCTATGGCATGATGAACGACCCAAACTTGATTCTTCAAAACTGTGACTTCTTCCACTACTTCATTATTTTCTTCCTTTATTGCCTTGACTTCTTGTTTCATTACTTAATTTTCTTCTTTCATTTTCTCATTTTCTTCTTTTATTTGCTCGTTTTCTTTCTTCAGTTGTCCACAAGCTACAGCTAATAATGTCATTTTATCAGTACATATTGTACTGATCACATTCAATCTATTATTATTATTAGTAATGTGTTAATGACAGCATAATAATCTTTAAATATTATTATTTTTCTTATTGTAACAGATAATGATAAATTATTAATGTAATTATTATTATTTATTTTTCTCTCGTATTCTTCTGTAAAATAATCTTCATAAAATTTAATTGAGAATAAGGTAGTTAATAATATATCCACAACTAAAAGAGTACATGAAAAGTACCGTAAATCAAATAGTTGACGTGCCCATTATTGTAATTCTCACAAGTTTATTTAAATCAATTAGTTGACAAAAACATTTATCTTGCACTACCACTACTCTGAATAAATTTTAATCGTGAACATAATACTAAAATAATTTCTATTAACTATAACTCCAGGTGGAATATCATCAATGCCGGTGACGGTATCCAGCACATCATCAGGTAATACCTCATAAGTAGCTTCAGTGTCGTCTAAGACTTTAAATGGATCTACATCTATACCAGGAGGCTGATATTTCAAAAATATATTGGGTAGTTTTGGATTATATTTATCAAATTTTCCTTTATGAAATGCAAATAGTACAGCATCACACCAGCATCCTGAACCTAGTATTCTAGCTGACATGTGTCGTCCACATGCACCAGTATAGAAATGAACTGCTGCTTTATTTCCCATTTGAATCTTAATTGGTAATAATGAATAGGAATCAGGAACTGTGGCATTGTGAACAAGATCCTTTAAAATTGTATTTTCATTTTGTAGCATTTTGACATGTTGTTTCATTTGTTCATTCTCTTTTTTCAATTCTCCACAAGCTACAGCTAATAGTGTCATGTGTTTAGTATCAGCAGTGTGTACATGTACATCTTTACGTAATGGCTTATCATTACAACCAGCCCAACTAAACACACAATCTACTGGCTCTAATGGACACTCTTTGATATGATCAGTGAGACTACCTCGTGGCATATTAGTAGACACACATTTATTGGGACAAGGAACAGGATACTGCCTGCATTCCTCATAATGATCCTTTGTAATAGAGAGGAAAGTACCAATTTCTCCACAGTATTGGCATCCAAATGGACGTTGAGGACATTCTTTATCTTCATGATCCTCAAGATATCTACGCTGCTTTTTCTCTTGGCATTTTCTATATAGACACTTTACTTCTTCATATTGACATTCTCCTTCTCTCTTTTCTTTATTAAGATGAGTAGACATATTCCTCAATTCTCCTTTCCATTGACATCCTTTCTCCTTATTACTGCAGTAGACCTCCAATCCATTGATAATATGTGAACACTTCTTATCGATAAATGATTGATATTCCTTCTTTTTACACATAGGACAGGATCCATCACCAGCTTTTACTCTCTCAATACAAGAGCCACAGAAATTATGTCCACAGCAAGTCACAAGATGAGGATCTGTCAAGATATTAAGACAAACTGGACACTCTATCTCAATCTGTTCAGGCACTTCTTTAACAAATGAAAGCTCTTCTTTGCTGAACTGAGACATCATGAGAGAGCTGCAAGGGCTGTGAGTGCAGACTGAACATTATAAGTGCTCTGTTTATGCTGAAAGATGATCTGTTACTATGAAATTGTACCTTGTGATAACAAAGTTTGCAATCATTACATTATGAGTGTAATATAAGATAAACTGTGCATAGTTTTCATTCACAATCATCCTGCAACTAAGCACAATTAATGCATTATCAAATAATGATGTTTTTCTATAAAATTTGGCCATACATAGCAACTATAATGGCAATAAAAAAGTTTGGAAGTAATGAATTAAAATTAAAATTAGCAGCAATAAAGACTAGGAGTCAATGCACAGTATCATTCATTACTTTGTAAAAATTGCAACAGTCCCTCTATGAGGATCCATTTTTTCCTTCTAATTACTCCAGGTGGAAAACAATCACAGTTGGTGATGGTATGACGTGCGGTGCACGATTTATTAGTCCTCCCATTTTGTAATTTTCAAAAGTTTGTTTAAATCAATTTGTTCACAAAAACATGTATTATGATTTATATACACTACCACTACTCTGAATAAATTTTAATCATGGGAACAGAACAAGGTAAATTTTTTTTAATCGTAACTCCAGATGGAATATCATCAATACCAGTAATGGTATCAAGTACATCATCAGGTAATAGCTCATAAGTAGCTTCAATGTCGTCTAAGACTTTAAATGGTAGTACATTAATACCGTCAAACTGATATTTGAAAAATATATTAGGTAGTTGAGGATTATGTTTATCAAATTTTCCTTCATGAAATGCAAATAGTAAGGCATTCCAGCCTCCTGTGTCTAATATCCTAGCTGACATGTGTCGCCCACATGCACCAGTGTAGAAATAAACTGTTGTTTTATTTTTCATTCGAATCTCAATTGGTAATAATGGATAAGAATTAGGAACTGTGGCATTGTGAACAGGGTCCTTTAAAATTGGTAAAATTGCATTTTCATTTTGTAGTATCCCGACATGTTGTTTAATTAACTCATTTTCTTCTTTCATTTTCTCATTTTCTTCTTTTATTTGTTCAATTTCTATCTTCAGTTGTCCACAAGCTACAGCTAATAGTGTCATGTGTTTAGTATCAGCAGTGTGTATATGTACATCTTTACGTAATGGCTTATCATTACAACCAGCCCAACTAAACACACAATCTACTGGCTCTAATGGACACTCATTGATATGAGCAGTGAGACTACCTCGTGGCATATTAGTAGGTGAACATTTATTGGGACAAGTAACAGGATACCTCCTGCATTCCTCATAATGATACCGTACAGAGAGAATTGTGCCTCCTTCCAAGCAATATTCACAATAAAATGGACGTCGAAGACATTTTTTATCTTCATGATCCTTAAGATATTTACGTTGCTTTCTCTCTTGACATTCCTTAAATCGACACTTCACTTCTTCATATTGACATTCTCCTTCTCTCTTCTCTTTATTAAGATGAGTAGACATATTCTTCAATTCTCCTTTCCATTGACATCCTTTCTCCTTATTACTGCAGTAGACCTCCAATCCATTGATAATACGTGAACACTTCTTATCGATAAATGATTGATATTCCTTCTCTTTACACATAGGACAGGGTCCATTCCTAGCTTTTATTATCTCAATACAAGACCCACAGAAATTATATCCACAGCAAGTCACTTGGTGAGGATCTGTCAAGATGTGGAGACAAACTGGACACTCTATCTCAATCTGTTCAGGCACTTCTTTAACGAATGAAAGCTCTTCTTTGCTGAACTGAGACATGTTTAAAAGGGGCAAAAGTCAAGGGCACTAAAAGGTGAACTATACCAGTTCATGTGACTGTTGTGACAAGTAATCAAAAGAATGTGCATAAGTGAGCAGTCAGTCTGTTTACCATAGCATTTTGGAAGGATTAGATCTAAAACAATCAAAATTTGCACATTCAATTAAAATATTAAATTAACATAATAGCAGCAATAAAGACTATAGCAAGACAATGCACAGTATCATTCATTACTTAGCATAAATTCTAACAGTTCCTTCACAGAGATTTATGTATCTTTTTCTTCTAATTACTCCAGTTGGCAGAGGATCATCACAGCTACTAATGGTATCAAGGACATCATGAGGTAATTGTTTATAAGTAGATTCAGTGTCTTCTATCAATGGTATATCCTCATTGTTATATTTTGCAAATATTTTAGGAAGACTTGGTTTAAAGGCATCAAAATTCTCACATGGAATGCAAGTAATATGACGAGGTACATATTGTGACTCATAAACAATCTAACTGACATGTACTGTCCATAAACATTGCTATGAAAATAAACTGGCCATCCTGGTAAATGTGAAGAGCCAGAATTAAATTTATATACGACTGTTTAAGCTTCTGTTGCATGTTATACTGGTTGTCTCTGTATATATGTAAGACTTAGAAATTTTAACGATTATGAATGATGTACATGTACAGTCTTGTGCTTGATCACGCATTTCTAATTCATGCAATAATTGTCCCCCAATATGACTGTTTAAGTGTTAATGACAGCATAATAATTGTTAAATTTTTTTTCTTATTGTATTGACTGATAATGATAATTTATTAATGTAATTATTATTATTATTTATTTTTCTCTCATATTTTTCTGAACATAATCTTCATAAATTTAAACTTTGCATTTGATGGTCGATTGCAATTGCAAGCTACCGGCGTATCATTGTTATGCATTTCAATTGTTTAAATTCATAAAAATAAATATCTAAAATATTCTCACTACAGTATTAAAACAATAAACATCAATTTCTCTTATCAATACTCCTAATGACTGAGAAAAAAGACCACCTCTGTAAACAACTGAATTTAGAGCATCATGAGGTAATTTTGATGCACGGGCAGCTTCAGCATCATCTAAGAGAGTGATTGGTGTGCCTTCATAGTCATACTTTATTTTTGGTAGTTTTGGATTAAATCTATCAAATTTTCCTTCATGAAATCCAAGTAATATATAACACTTTGAATAATCTTCATTCTCCATTATTCTAGCTGACATGTGCCATCCACATACACTTGTATAAAAATGAGTTGCTGTACCTCCTACATCAACCAATATTGGTAGCAATGGATATGAATCATTAGCTATGGCATGATGAACTTGATTCTTTAAAATTGTGACTTCTTCTGCTACTTCATTGTTTTCTTCCTTTATTGCCTTGACTTCTTTTTTCATTACTTCATTTTCTTCTTTTATTTGTTCATTTTCTATCTTCAGTTGTCCACAAGCTACAGCTAATAGTGTCATGTGTTTAGTATCAGCAGTGTGTACATGTACATCTTTACGTAATGGCCTATCATTACAACCAGCCCAACTAAACACACAATCTACTGGCTGCAATGGACACTGATGATTAACGTGAGCAGTGAGACTACCTCGTGGTACTTTATTAGATGAGCATATATTAGGACAAGTAACAGGATACTGCCTGCATTCCTCATAATGATCCTTTGTAATAAAGAGGAATGTACCTATTACCCCACAGTATTGGCATTGAAACCGACGTTGATAACATTCTCTATCTTCATGATACTTAAGATATCTACGTTGCTTTCTCTCTTGACATTTCTCATATCGACACTTTACTTCTTCATATTGACATTCTCCTTCTCTCTTCTCTTTATTAAGATGAGTAGACATATTCTTCAATTCTCCTTTCCATTGACATCCTTTCTCCTTATTACTGCAGTAGACCTCCAATCCATTGATAATACGTGAACACTTCTTATCGATTAAAGATTGATATTCCTTCTCTTTACACATAGGACAGGGTCCATTTCTAGCTTTTACTCTCTCAATACAAGACCCACAGAAATTATATCCACAGCAGCTCACCAGATGAGGATCTGTCAAGATATTAAGACAAACTGGACACTCTATTTCGATCTGTTTGGGTACTTCTTTAACGAATGAAAGCTCTTCTTTGCTGAACTGAGCCATTGCTATTTGCTAGACCAGCCCCGCCCTTGTTTGCAGTTAGTGTTACCAATGGTAACAGAATGAAAATTTAAAATTGTCAATTGTAAGCTCATCTGCTCATTAGCCCTCCCATACTGTAGAGTGACATAAGTTTTATTTAATTTAATAAATTCAAATCAAGCTAAATTGCATAAATTGTGTATGACAAATGGTCTATATTTTTTTTAATTACTCCAGGTGGAAGATTATTGCAGTTGGTAATGGTGCCAAGGACATCATTAGGCAATTGCTTATAAGTAGCTTCTGTGTCTGTTATCAATGGTGCATCTGTATTGTTATTTTTTGCAAATATTTTAGAAAGCTTCGGTTGAAAATTGGCATCAAATATTCCTTCATGAAATGCTATTAGCATGAAGGTCTCCGCAAAGAGGCCTCCTTCTATTATTCTAGCTGACATGTGTCGTCCACATGGGCCAGAATAGAAATGAACTACTCCACTTTCTGCTGTAATATCAATTGGTAATGATGGATATGAATTATCAGCTACAGCACTGTGAATGTGATACTTCAAAGTTGCGTTTTCATATTTTAGTATTTCAACATCTTTCTTCAATTGTCCACAGGCTGCAGCTAATAGTGTCATGTGTTTAGTATCAGCAGTGTGTTCATCTATGTCTTTACGTAATGGCTTATCATTACAACCAGCCCAACTAAACACACAATCTACTTGCTCTAATGGACACTTGCTGATGTGATACTTGAGCTTATATCGTGGCATATTAGTAGATAAACATTTATTGGGACAAGTAACAGGATACTGCCTGCATTCCTCATAATGATCCTTTGTAATAAAGAGGAACGTGCCTTTACCTCCACAATATTTGCATTCAACTATACGTTGAGGACATCTATGATCCTCATGAAGTTTAATGTGCTTACGTTGCTTTCTCTCTTGACATTTCTCATATCGACACTTCACTTCTTCATATTCACATTCTCCTTCTCTCTTCTCTTTATTAAGATGAGTAGACATATTCTTCAATTCTCCTTTCCATTGACATCCTTTCTTTTTATTATTACAGTAGACCTCCAATCCATTGATAATACGTGAGCACTTTTTATCGATAAATGATTGGTATTTCTTCTCTTTACACATAGGACAAGGTCCATCACCAGCTTTTACTCTCTCAATACAAGACCCACAGAAATTATGTCCACAGCAAGTCACCAGATGAGGATCTGTCAAGATATCAAGACAAACTGGACACTCTATCTCAATCTGTTCAGGTACTTCTTTAACAAATGAAAGCTCTTCTTTGCTGAACTGAGACATGTTTAAAAGGGGTAAAAGCTAGGGCAAAAATCAGGGGCACTAAAGGCGAACTATACCAGTTCATGTGACTGTTGTGACAAGTAATCAAAAGAATGTGCATAAGTGAGCAGTTAGTCTGTTTACCATAGTATTTTGGAAAGATTAGATCTAAAGCAATCAAAATTTGCACATTCAAGCATGATATTAAATTAATAATAGCAGCAGTAAATACTATAGCAAGTCAATGCACAATATCATTCATTACTTAGCATAAATTCTAACAGTTCTTTCACAAAGATTTATGTATCTTTTTCTTCTAATTATTCCAGTAGGCAGAGGATCATCACAGCTATTAATGGTATCAAAGACATCACAAGATAATTGTTTATAAGTAGATTCAGTGTCTTCTATTAATGGTATATCCTCATTGTTATATTTTGCAAATATTTTAGGAAGACTTGGTTTAAAGGCATCAAAATTCTCTCGTGGAATGCAAGTAATATGATAAGGTACATATTGTGACTCGTATATAGTCTAACTGACATGTACTGTCCACAAACATTGCTATAAAAATAAACAGCTCTTAGAGATGGTGTACGAAGATTTAAAGTTACATCAATTGGTAATAATGGAATTGATAAACCATTGGCTATGGCAGTATGAATGTGAAATTTGAATTTTGCTTTTGTCTTGACCTCAAATTTTATTTTCTCATTGTCTTCTTTTATTTGTTCATTCTCTTTCTTCAATTGTCCACAAGCTACAGCTAACAGTGTCATGTGTTTAGTATCAGCAGTGTGTACATGTACATCTTTACGTAATGGCTTATCATTACAACCAGCCCAACTAAACGCACAATCTACTGGCTCTAATGGACACTGATTATCAATATGATGCTTGAGATTAAATCGTGGCATAGTAGTAGAAGCACATCCTCTAGGACAAGTAACAGGATACCAGCAACACTCTTTATAATGATTTTTTGTAATAGAGAGGAACGTGCCTTCTTCCCCACAATGTTCGCATTCAAACGGACGTTGAGGACATTCCTTATCTTTATGCCTCTTCAGATATCTACGCTGCATTCTCTCTTGACATTCCTCATATTGGCACTTTACTTTTTCATATTGACATTCTCCTTCTCTCTTCTCTTTATTAAGATGAGTAGACATATTCTTCAATTCTCCTTTCCATTGACATCCTTTCTTCACATTACTGCAGTAGACCTCCAATCCATTGATAATACGAATGCGTTCCTTATTCACCATAAATTGATACTTCTTCTTTTTGCACATAGGACAGGATCCTTTTCTTTTTTTTTACTCTCTCAATACAAGACCCACAGAAATTATATCCACAGCAGCTCACCAGATGAGGATCTGTCAAGATGTAGAGACAAATTGGACACTCTAGCTGCACATGGTCCGGCAGCTCTTTAACAAATACAAGCTCTTCTTTGCTGAAGCAAGACATGATATTCAAACAGTGAAAGGGCCCTGCCGAGACAAAAGTGTATAGCTATAATAACTCTCATGTGACTGTTATCAAAAACCACTGACCACCCATCTGACCACAAATGAATTAAGACACCTCTATCATTATTGCAAGATAAACTGAGAGTCAAAAATTAAGTGGAATAGTCACTGCTGACATGCATATAAATACCAATATTAATAAAAAATTAATGATTATGATATGTGAAACTAACTGAGTAATGAATGAACAAAAAACAACTACAGATTACTCTGATGGTATTTTATTATCAGTGAGGAGTGATATTTCCTTTTCAATATTATTTCTTGCAGGTTCTTCATAATATGAAACTCTGATGTGCAATAGATCCTGTGCACTTTTAAAAAACTCTTCAAAACCTAAGCAAAAATAAACAAGTCGATGATAATAAGTGATTGTTTTATTGCTACACACCTCAGCTCTCTTTTGACAATAGTCAGAATGAGGAATGTGACAATACTCTCTTCTAATGTTACCAGCATATCTTGCATATACTGCAGAGTAAAATAACAAGAGGGTTATAAGAATTATTTATCATCATCTCTCTCCACCCTAGTTCTCTCTCTCTCTCTCCCTTCTTTAGCAATAGAGCAAGCAGTAAAATAATAGTCACTGTAATAGATTGCTCTACGACTTTCTCTTTTACTTTTAAAGTCCCACTCACCGTCTTTCTCCTTCTCTCTCAGTCTCCTCTTCTATTTTCACAACTAAATTTTTTCCCTACTCCATTCTTTCTCTTCTCTTCTCTCTCTCTCCTCTATCTTCTCTTATTTCTGTACAAGTATCACACCTCCCTTTAACCTTCTTCCTCCTCCTCTTCTTCTTGTTATGTTTCCAAACACATAATGAGTTTTTATCCCAACTGATGCTCAGCCAGTCACCTCTCAGTTCCATTAACTTTCTCCCTCTCTCTCTCTCTCTCTCCAGCCTCTCAATATAGAGTACATTATCAATGATCGTACACCATCAATTTTCGGACACTTGTTTTAGGAAAACTATACATTGCCATCTCATGAAACTGCAAAGTATTATAGCAATAGTTATCCTTTATTTGCGTGACAAAA